AAATATAAGACCTAAAAAAAATATTCTTCTAACATACTAAATGTTATTCCACTGTTACCAACTGCTAAGTGATTACTCTTCACAAGCGTGATGAAAAAAAGATTATTATTTCAGCTCTGAAATTTATGCCACCAAATCATTCAGAACTTCTGTGGCGTGCTAAATTTTCACCAGAACGGACTGGGCATCGTTTCATTTACACTTTGCTGTTTCTGAAAAAAGCAAACTAACGCTATGTGCAAATTCCGTCATACGATTCTTTCATATTAATTACTTGGTGAAGAATAAAATTTATGATATTCGAACTTGCGGAACGCAGCATTTGTAAGCTTCTTTGTTAGCAAATCAATGGAAATGAAGTCATAGTTTTGCATCTGTTATTGCTTACTGTCATGTTAGCAGATTTTTACTGCACATGCAAATTCACTACACCACGAAAGGTTTTTATTGACTTGAATTTGATCAGGGATTGATTTTAAAAAGAAATCTTTAAAAAAGGTTCAAATATTTTTCGACAGTTCAAGTTTCAGAATCGCAAAAGCTCAGAAAGTTTCAGAATCAAGGGTTTCAGAATTGATTTGTTATGGAATTCTTACAACTTTCCACAAGCAGTACATTTCTATAGGGCAAGCAACATACAGGAAATGCGAATAATGAAGCAATCTTTGAACTGAAATTCTCGTGCTCTTCGAGTAAGACGGTTTATTATCATTGGTGTTATTATTTGCCTAGCAGCCTAAATATGTTATATGATTTTTTGTTGGTATTTAACTACAAATAAATGCACTAATAACTTTATAGGAACTTTGTATTAGCGAAACAAATTTTTTCCAAAATCGGTTTTTTCAGAAAAATTTTTCCTTTTTTATTCCATGGTAATTATGTACAATTTATTCGAATATTATTTTATTTCCTTAATAAAAGGCAGCACACACCAAAAATCTAGTTTATTAAGACAAAGGATTTTATAAAACTGGTTTTTTTGTGCGAAAACAAAAGTATTCAACAGGGAAATGTCTCCAGAGAAATTCGGTAAAGAGTTTTGAGCAGAAATCGAAAGTAATCCACAATGAGAAAGTATATGAAGTCTATCTAGCTGCAGTGAGAGCTTCCAAAACTATTTTTTGCTTATGAATTTTTGGAAAAAATAATCGTTGTTGTTAAATCAGTAATCTTATTATGGAACACAATCATATCAGATGGAAGTGCGATGCTACCATCGTTATCTTTTCAAGAATTTGCATCATGTATCTAGTAGACATCAGTTCTGTAGTCTCGGCTCAAGATTTTAAAATTGGAATTTGATGTAGTGGCTGTCATGAGTTCAATAGTTTTGCTTTCAATCTTTGAATTTATTTAAATTTTGTGAGAATACTTAGGTCAACCAACCTGCATAGCAAAATCGTATTAATATGACATGTTGTCAGTCTTCTTCAAATCCAGCTTATTATTGTCACTATCCATTATGAATGCCATGATTGTTACTATCCCAGGAATATCAACTTTAAATGTATTTCCATAGTTTTTTTCTGGTAATTTTCATTCTTTAATCAAAAGTTTATAATTTGCAAATAGCGAAACATTATTTATAATGAAGAAAGATGTTTTATTACATATGTACACATGAATAAAGTATCAATTTACAGTTTGCTATATTTTGTACGCATTCACAAGTTTAAAAAAGATTTGTGAAATGTATTTGACAGAAAGCTCCTACCGGAGAATCAGACAAGCCAAACGGTTTAGTTGCAGTGGTAACTATCATAGCTAAGATATGATAAAAGTCGGATGATATGCCCGATCTCATCATCATGGAAATAACACTAACTAGTGTAACTGAAATTGGTGAATAATTTCCGTTAGATAACATTATCTAGCGAGTGCATTAATTTCACACAGAAGTTAATTTTTATGAAATGGTGTACCTTCAAAATACTAAGTGTAAAAATTAGGTAAGGTTTTGTGTTGTCGTAAATTAGAAATATTTAAAATAAATCTGTTCAAAGTGTAAAACTAGCTAACTAGCTCATCAATCACTTTTGATTTTGACGCCTGAAAACACAGACATAAATGAGGCTGAGAATAAAGGTGAAGCGTTCAACTTCACTGTTGCAAATTTTGATGAAGTATCCATTTTCAGAATTCTTTACTATGTAGAACAACTATATCATTTCAAAATGTGGTTTTTAGAATTTATGATATTATGTACGTTAGCATAAAAACTACAGGAGTATTCAAAATTACTTGTTGCACTACAAAGGAAACATTAACTGAAATGTAACGAAAAGATTTTAATTTCTAAGACATGTTAAGAAGCCATAACATCTTATGAAAAACAGTCTCATAAGAATCGAAAAAAATTTTCAGTGATCTTTCCATACTACTAATAAATATTATCAAATTGCTACACAGTTAGGGAAGAGTGGTAGAATAAATAAAGAATGGTGTGTTAAAAAATGCATGTACGAAGCTTTTGGAATATTTTGCTCATATCGTTATCATCATGATGAAACCGATCAACGGAAGATATGGCTTCATTAGCTGCCCAATAATTGGTGTGCTGAGAATATAATCCACAATCCACCAATAAACTTTGAACTGGAAACGTCCCCAACTAAGTCTTGTCCTTGAAACTTCGATTTTTCCATCTTCCATTCGTTTCCTTACGAGATCAACCGCCGTTTGATTGCAGATCTTGGTTTATTAGTTAGAAAAACAAACTTAATTATAGAACAAATCAAATTTTTCAGTTAGCATGACTTTTCTAGAACAATTATATATTCAAGAAAACTGTTTTAGCTTGTAGGATGACTCATTAAGCAGCCATATAATTTATGTATTGCTGCAACGAAATTGCTTAAAAATTACGATTGCGTGACATTACTCAATAAATTTATTCTAAAAACAAGACCCGCATTCATACAGCCTTAAGCTTTCCTGATTTCCAAGAGTTTCCTTCTCACTAAATCCCAGTGTCGAAACTTTAGAGAACTCTAATTTTTTAGCTGTGCGATGCAATTCTAATATAAACTTTAAAAATTGGATCAACAATTACTGATTTTATTGGTGCCTTAAGTAAACTGATTCTTACTTTATGATTGTCACTGTTCATAAAATAGAATCCAAACTTGGCTAACTGCATCAGCTTTGATCCCCCATCTGTTTCACAATCTAACTGCATGATATAAGGTGGATTTTTTTGATCAGTGTACATCCATTCCCATGAGTGAGCTATTCTGGAAAGACATTTGCAGAAAACTTAAAATGAATGCTTCGATTGTATTTTTCATTGCTTTTTTGTCAAGCATGAGAATGCACTACTTACTGTTTGCTATTTAGACAAGGAAATGCAGTGAGGTAGTGCAGTTTGCAGAAAATGTGTAAAGTCGACACGAACAAACTTCATTCTTTCTGTCCTTTTCTGTATATATATATAGTTTTTGAAGAATTTCCGACATCATAGTAGAGTTCAATGAAACAGAAAGAAGTGACAGAACATAACAATAATACTTATGCAACCCCGAAGGAAGGAAAACGAAACAGGGGAAAACAGCAAAAAAGAGAAATACGCAAGGGATGAAAACAGTGAGGAAGAAGGCAATTGCTGAAACAGTTAAAAATCTGAAAACAGAAGACAAGCATTGATCTGCAATCAGAAAAAACAATAGGAAACAAGTGGGGTTGTAAAAAGCTCCCTAAAGGATGTTAGAAAGCACTCTGCCAGTGTACTGGAACCAGGAACTAGCAGGATGGTTACAACCGAAGTACTCATTCCAGGAATCGAGGTTCCACTGGGCAGCTGGCTAAGCGAAGTGCTAAATTCTTGACCGCTTCTTGAGGATGCTAATCGGAGCATGGCCCTTGTCTCGTTCTTTGTATTGCTCTTGAGCTCATTCTAAAATTCTTTGTATTTGCTCTTGAGCTACTTTGCAATGGAATTTGCTCTTGAACTACCTTGTCTAGGTTTTCTTGAGTTACCGTTCTTTGTATTTGCTCTTGAGCTACTTTGTAATGGAAGACAAGGCTAGCGCTCCGATTTGAGAAAGCTACGAACAGAAATTTTTGTACAAATTGAGCGATTAGCCAAAAGTGCACTAAATGGCAAGAACTTTATCAAGGCGATGGATGAGCACGTTATAAGTCTAATAAACTATTAGCGCTCATAGTGGAAGCAGAAGATTTCAAAGCCGTAGATCACGATATCAGGCAATTACTAAGTAAATACTGAATACATAATCAACCTGCATGTTTAGAGAAATTGTACTTGCCAAAAGATGAGCTAGGACGGTAGCTTCAATGCGCTGAACAAAGAAGTGAGCTTATGCTGCTGCAGCTTCATAACATACTTGTAGGAGCCGCTTCCATATCCACCGGAAGGGCGCGATTTTGAAATAGAAGCTCACAACACGTGCTTAGCAGTTATGATGACCCATCATTAGACTAAATACAACACCGTGAAAAGTCCAACCGTCGAAAACGAATTAGCAGCCCAGAAAGCGTTTTCTTGTAGCAAAATAGTAAGGAAAATTCGTCGTGTAAAGCTATATAAGATGCATAGTAATTAGCTAGCCAACGGAGATCACCACAACAAATCCGAGCTCGGGACAAGCATAGCCACAATATGTTTCAGCGCCAGAATCAATAAAGCGGACCTCCACATTTTCTTTTTTGTATATACATATGTAGTTTAATTAACTGCCAAAATATTTTTGTAAAGCGTAAATTCGAGCAGTATGTAATTGAGCTGTTAATCACAACGAAAACTTACTTGTGCGGGATGTAACTACATTTTGATTCTCTCCAAGTATGACACTGGTGAATCATTATGCCCATATCTGGTGTATACCAATGTGCTAATTTCCGAGCTATTGCTTCGAAAAATTTCACTGTTCTGTTGTTAGCATGAACAAAAAAGTTCGCACCTCCAAATTTAGCAGATCATTAACAATGAGATATGAATGTTGGATTTGTAGAAAAATATCTTCTAAAAAATCTGAATTTCTGGAAAATTGAAACAGAAATCATTCTGTCAGTTTTAGTTGATTTTTGTTAATTTCATTCCTTGTCACACTGATTCAAATGAAACAGTTAATCAAAACACGTTGTCAAATAGAAACTATTCAGACTTATCAATGAAAAAGTTCCAGTGAAAAGTAAAATTAAAATAAAAATGCTCGCAGAATTTGCTGAATAAGCATGAAATGCAAACTCATCAGATTTACCATTCACCCATTCGGCTCTCTTTGAGTTTTTGTCATCGCCGATTTGGTCGAATATGGCGTCGTATGCGTGATTTTCTTCAAAATGCAGATCAAACAAGTTTTTACGCCAAAAAGTATCTTGCTGCATCATCCAAAATGATTTTCCGTTTTTCAACAAACATACTGCCATGTTTGCCCGTAATAAGTATAACGTTTGATAGGCACCTTCAGCAAAACTGAAGGGTTTCTGCAATTCATTTTTCATTTTAGTGATTTCAATAGACCTCCATTTTAGCGAATATTATTACAGTCAACTTAAGAACTTTAAATCAACGATTAAGAAGACTTAAGCTCACAGAGCATAACAAATATAGACTAAGTAAAGTAACTGAATCAAAATTTAAATATGAACTTTAGTTTTATATGCAGATTGGATGTAACAACCAGTGATTTCACTATAAAATAAATTGCATGTTTAGTGTACACAACGATAATATTTGTTAAGCAATCGTATATCATTGCTTCCTTCAGAATATGCAAGCGAATGAGTGTTCAAGTAAATTTCAGCATGCTGGTATGAATTCTAAGCATTAGATTATCTTTGTGATGAAAGTTTTTGAATAGCTTCAGAATATTAGTTTGAAAGATATTTTTGCCGGTAATAGGAAAGATGTGAAAGTCACTTCTGATCATGTCCGATGTCATATATATTATATTTGGTTTTATTCAATAAAACTCACATATAAACTGGGTGTTGGCCAGTACACTTGTCTTACATTAGGCCAATACTCCATTAATACATCCTTCGCCACGCTATCCAAAGTGATGAAAATTAATCTGGAAATTAATGAATCAAAGTTTAAGCCAGAAAGTAATCATTTTTTCGCTCAGTTTTGATACTTTATGATAAGATTTTTTCTTTATGATCATACTATAACATGCACTATGACTCATCTTTTAAATTAATTTAGGAATTTAACTGTAGATCATATCATGAAGTTTGATATGCTTTCAAATGAGTAAGTAAACTTTCTATTAAAAGTGTAAATAGGAATAAAAATCAATATAAGCTAATCATATCAGAGTTTAATCATAAATAAAAAACAGTCTATAAAAGATCAGAACTGGTCTGATTATTATTGTTTATGATAAATAAAAGCCAAAGAACTTCATATGATTGACTTGTATGATAAAATTCATACCAACCAAAAAATCATATTAATCTGAAAACCAACCGTTCATGAACACCAGTCATATCTCGTGTGTTGCAGAGAAAATTAAAAGTCATATTGAGAGCATACTGATTGAGAAGGAATATAGCTGGTGGTTTCTGAAACTCCCGGTCTAATGAGTCTAGTAATTTCCGGAAGGCAGGTGAAGCAGAAATTGCTTCCTCAGATACAGTATGACTGTGCTCTTTAACGTACCGTACCGCTGCAGTTGCGTTTTGTGTTTTGCGAATGACTAAAATACCCAGACTGAACCAAAAGATATAAAAAGTGCAGCAAAACCATCTGTAGAGTTTTGGTGAAATCCATGGACGGCTAAAATTGTTAGTATACCAGGTATTCGAAAAGTACCATAAAATATCGTGTCCAGTTCTTGATTGTAAAGTGTTTTTTTCAAAATTTCTCAATAATGTGTCATCACTTGATGATTGGACTGATGATGCTGATGTCGACGATGGCGGTAACGAAGTTATATTTGGCGCACAATCGTCATTAGAGTGATTGTTTCGTCGACGAGAATAAGTACTATCAACATTGACTATTTTAGAAAAACTTGGTCCTTCTGAGGGCGCACTACTAACAAACTTCCGATTATCCTCTGAATATTCTGTAGATAAATCATCCAATCTCTTTCCTTTTCTCATGGTTCAAATGACAAACTGAGGACAAATAAAGAAAAAGAACAAAATAGCAATTCGAGATTCAGATATACTTTTTCAGAGGAAAGTACCAGAAAATCCTGCAAAATAAATAGTCAGAATTTAATGACACAATTTTACGTTTAGTATATGTAATAAAGTTATCGGATATTTGCAGAAATTAACTCAGCATCAGTTCATTTTTACTTGAAAAAAGTAGAACTGATTTAAAAGTAATATTAACCATGTAAAAAATTTTGATAGAGATCATTTGCTAAAGCACTTTTTGCAAAAATTAATGGTTATATCTAATCCTCACCACGACTTGCTTCCATCTAAACAAGTTATTGAGGAAAGTAATTCGTACTGATACCATTAAATTACATCATTTTTTAACTCAGTAAGAGTATAAAATATCAGAAAAATTAAGGTTTTTAGATCAGAAGGGCGGTACATAAACAAATCAATTCTAACAATGTTAATAGCACATCATTACAAACTGAAATCTCCAAAAACAATTTGACAATTTTAAAATTTATGAATTTTAAAAAGAAAACTTAAGCAAGAGTATTTTACCGACAAATTTAATTAACTCTTCATAGAATATTATTAATTTATGGGAGAAATATTCTTGCCTAAATTGAAAATGTTTATTGAACCACAATTAACTTTCACTTTTCTGAAGCTGTCATCTACTCTTGCGTTTAAAAACTATTGACGAAGCTAGGAAAACGATAACGAAAAATTATTTTTCACAAGATTTAAAAAAGTGTTAAAGTGAAAAAATTTTTGTAAAAATTACTTTTAGATGAGTGAAACCAACAAATACCGTTGCTTTATTTTTTTATAAATATATAGAAACAAATTTTCAAATAATTTTTTCCGTAATGAAGAAAAGTTCGAGATACTTTTTCGGAGTTCCCCAGTCAAATGATTCAAAATTAAGTTGAGTATAAAAATATTTTAGCAGTCACCAATTATTTATCTTTCAACTTAGTCTAATGAAATACGTCTCCTGGCAATTTATTTGATTTGCCAACGACTAAATTTAAGAATTTTTAGAAGATGCAAATTTTAAACATGTATAAAAACAAGTTCTGACAAATGGACAAGTGCTACCATACTGATCGAAATCTCATTGAGAATCACCCAATTGTAATTACTTTTTGAAGATTAGTGTGCTCAACAATTCACAACCTAAATTTCCCATGTTTGATATCTATTCATATGTAAATTACTTGCATTCAAGCTTGCTTCATCGTATATCCTATTGCAGGTGAACAAAACTAGAATATAAAATGGTATATAATCATTTACCACGTTTCATACCAAGAAAATTCAATACTAATTCTAATTTTTCTAAAAATTTACTTTTTTCACTTTTTCAAGCACAGCGGATATTTCTTGACTGGAAAATATGCATTAGGAATTAGTCCTTAAAATGTAAAGTTAAAACTTGTGGTACTGGTAAAAACTCTTAACTTTGAAGTTGCGTGTTGACAGTAATAATCTCACAATAGCAAAAAAATGGTTTTTTTAAACCACGTTCTTGCAACGTCTGCCACTTGACCCAATCTGGTAAATTCGAAAATTTCGGGTAGTGATTTAAGAATGCGATAACTTGTGTAATAATTGTGTAGTTTATTATATTGCGATATTTAATCGACACCTACCATCTTGACAATAAAAAGAAAAACAGATCTCAATTTAATATCAGCAAGAAATTTCTAAACAAAAGTTTGATATGTTCAAAAGCTTGTTTTTTGTTCATTATAATTAAGAATAATCATAAATGCTGAGTGTTATTGATTACCCAATATTGAAATTCTTTTACTGATTGAGACTCCAAAATATTATACAAATAAACTTTCTTAATATTCAGTAAATAAAATCGAGATTCAGTAAACGACTGAGTTAATTATTCCGTAAAATTTCTATTGCTTTTTTATAAAAGTTTCATTCAATATAAACGAAAAAGAAACAGCGTTGCAAAAATTAAATTGTAGAATTATAGTTATCAAGTTACTTTTCAATATTTTTCGAAATATCCTGCGAAAAAAAAATGTAAATTTATTATCGAGTTGCACATGACGATCAGATTAATACGACCGCATCAACGATACTTCTCAAGATTTCAATTTATTATATGAATGAGGAAAAGTTCCATCATTAATTTCTAGCTCACAAAACTGAGGGCAAAAGTCTATGAAAAGATAAGAACAGTGTAAAGAAAATGTACTAGTTATGATATCGACTGGAGTAAAGCTATTATGTATTTCATTTGACCAGTTTAAAAAATTTATGATTGTAGAGATCTTCGAAAAAATATAAAATAATGCTAAAAACAATAAAGGGGAAATGGAAATGCATCTTACAGGAAGGATAAAAATGATTTATATCTGCAGAGGTGAGACAAGTGGTGGACAACAGCACATCGATCGCGAGGGGACAGGATGCATGAGATTGATGGATGGATAGATAGATAGATAAATAGATAAATAGATAGATAGATAGATGGATAGATGCATAGATGACCATTGCTATTATTGTAACATATTAATCTGCGTGTGTACACATTTGTGTTTGTCCGTACGCGTGTCAAATGTACAGACATATTTGATGCACTTGTAAATATATGTCAGTGACATCGATTGTAACCCAACAACTATCACTTTTACCACAAATATAATTAGTTCTAAATTTATATATTACTTACTATCAGTATTTATAATACTGACTAAACGAATCATCTAAAAATTACCAACGTCATGTACATCTTGTAAGTTATAGATTAGGATATTACCTATGTATGACTTATGCGAAAATAAGAGAAGAAAAAGAAAAGTTTAACGATTATGCTTCCAATTGTGCAAAACAGTATTACACTCCTGCAAAACCAAGCTTTGATTATGGAATGAGAGGAAAACTTTTCGTGCGGAGTTGAAGACAAGTTGCGGTGAATGAAAAAAATAGTAAACATTCGTTGAGTGGAGGTTTCTGCTTAAGACTGCTACTCTGGTAAATAATTCCTCTCGTTCACATTCAGAATGATAAGAAGACATGTGCAGTTTCACCTACTTTTTTTATCAAATCAAAATTTGCTTGCCTTATTGGAAAGGGTGACTGTAGAGAAGCATCTAAGCATCAATTAACTTCTATTAAGATTGTTTGCAGTGAACATTTTTCTCGTGGAGACTTACCACAGTTATTAATTGAAAATTCTCTTTCATATCCATGCTTGCAATGTCAAGCTATTTATTAAAAGGTGAAATTTAAAAGCATAGTCTATAATGACGAAAAAGACTGCCGAAATTAGCAGTATTTTAATACTAATGTAAAATATTTTATTCCACAATTTATATTTTTAAGCAAATGTTTTAAAAACATAACCAATTACATATTTGCTAGTTTTCAATTAAGATTCTAGTATAAAAAATATAAGACCAATAACGAAAGAATGAAAATAAAACATGTGACAATATATAATGGCATTAAAGCACTGTAAACTTTTAACTTCTAGAACAGTTTCTCGGATAAAATCACAAACTAGTATTACAGTCGTCGGATAGACTTATTCGAAAAATTCCTTTTAAAAAGAGAACATTTTTTTTAAAGTGGTTGGTCATTCTGAAGAAAATTTCAATAAACTGAACAAAATAGTTCAAGTTCTTTGCAAACAATCAACCTTAATATCCAAAAATTTTCACGCATTCACTAAGAAGTGACTAGTATAACATCTTTGACATCATCCATTTGACTTGAATATAACAAGAAACCGAGAGTAAATATTTTTTTTACTTGTCTACAATAAAAATATCATCGCATAATTTATTACTCCGTATACGGAAACAAATGGAGAAATGATGTGCATTGATCGGGTCTTTCCAAACAAACCCACTAGTCGATCAATTATTGTACAGATCAATCCTTCAATCGACTAAATAGGTTAATCGATCAGTTAACTGATACCAATAATTAATATTAACAACACCAAATGATGAAAAAAAAGTGGAGATAATTAACAAAATTGTCTCCAAATGATGACAGCAAATGTTTGGCATACTTTTCTTTCTTGTTCTTTCATCGTTTATTTCCCAAAAACTGCAAATAGTTTTGAAATTGGAATAGTGGAATAATTCAAGGTTACAATGATGAAACTTCCTTCTCTTTAGATATTCTCAGTTATCCTAGAAAACGACTTCAAATTAATCAATCAATAGTTCACTGAATTTTATTATAATTGACCCATTTTTATTGTTTTTCTCTCTTTTTAAGGCTGCCATTACACTCAGTAACTCTTCACATACATATAGTACTATAATTATCATGCACATAGCGTGACAATTACTATGCATACTAATTACTGTGACTATTATCATTATTATTATTTCAAAAGTTGTTGTTAACGATAACAATAATGCAATTATCGTAAAATTTATCTGAATAAAAGATACTAAAATTTCTTCAATGCCAGACAAGGATTTTTCTATCAGTACTGTTAAATATATGCAGCAGATAGAAAGATTTGAATTATATTGTGTTCCGCAATCGCACAACTTGAATGAGTAAAAATAACACAAAGACGAAAGCAAGGCAGTGAATGTATATTTCATTAAGGTGAGATTCTTTTTCTATTTTAAGACACAAAAAAGTTTTATTTGACTCAGAAAAAGTATAAAGTGAAATAAATGATACTCAGATTCATTTTCATGATTTTCTGGGCAGTAATCAAGACACCTTGGCTGTGCACTGCATATGATCTTGAATTGCTAACCTTTTACTCATAATTTCTTACACTTATTTGTTGCTATTACAATGCACAAAGAAGTTATACTTACTACACAAAATATATTCTCCAACGACTTCATTCAAATAATTTTCTTTGCTTGTAAATTCGTTCACTTTCAATATTATAATCAATAACGGCGCTGACGTCTGAAACAAATAAACTACCAACGATCAGATTATGGAATGAAAAAAGCGAGCACGTAAAATGAAATAAATAATCACAACATATGACAACAACTATACACTCTCACCACAATTCAGTTCAGATAATTGCTTTTCATAAGTTCGTCCCGTTATCATTTAATGTAATTAAACTCTCGGAAAACTGCTGGCAAGTGGAACCAGTAAATAGAATACATACTTATTTACATTGCAACATGCAATATGCCAGCTCCTCTAACTACTATAACCATTTGATGAGCAAAGTCATTGCAACGATACGTGACAACACAAATTTAAGCATGAGCTTAAATATTTCATAAAAGGGCTTTCAATGTGACATCAGGGTAATTAACTGGTTTCTTTTCTTGCTAGTTCCCTACTTCTTCAAACTGATGGCATTCTTCATAATTGTAATGAGGTTGAAGCGGCAGTATTGTTCTTGGTTTTTATTTGCTCTTCTCCTCCTTTATTGTCAGTCATACTAGTTAAGACTAACTCATAATTAGCTCTTAATTAGTTAGCTTTCTACTTTACGAACTGGTTATATTTTCTTTGCTTATTTCATATATTTTGTTCTTCCATGAGAATCTTTGCACTCATTTGGTTAGAAATTAAATTTCTTGTAAATTCGCCCATTGGATTTTGAAGGCAGTAGAAATTTTTTACTTTTAGTCATGGACAGCTCACCCATATCTGTCTCGCGGAGCACACGCCAACGTTTCCGGTTTCCAGCTAGGTATAAAATCTCCAACTATTGAGAATCAGAAGTAAAGGTACCATTATAGTAATGTAGTTTCCAAATCACTGTTTGGAAAACATTGAGTTTAGAAATGCTTTCTATAGCAAAACAATTTCCACTATTGTATTTTTTTCAGGTGGTTGAATTATAGTCCCGTGGGAAAAATTATTCCGGGTACACGATTTCTTGCTTTCAAGACACCATTGAAAAGAAATTTTTTCGAAGTTCATGGCAGACAGTTTGATATGCAAAGTGCTTTCGATATAAAAACTTTACTTGACTTGGTAGGTCAAGAAGTTTGAAGTAACTT